CAATCACCACCATTTAATTTAAGAACATTTACCCAAAAAGAAACTCTATAGCTGTCACTACCCATTACTCCTCCCACTTTATTCCCAAGTCTGCTTTAGTTCCCACTCCCATCCTCAGCCCTAGGAAACCACTAATCTACTTTCTCTGTGTATATTTGCCTATTTTGGACATTTCATATACATGGAATAATAAAATAGTGGTCTTTTGTGATTGGCTTCTTTAACTCCATATGATGTGCTCAAGGATGATCTATGTTATAGCATTTATTAGTACTTCATTCCTTTCTATTGCTGAATCACAGTCCATTTCATGGATATAACACATTTTATTTATCCATTCATCAATTGATGGAAATTTAGGTTATTTTCACTTTTTGACTACTATTGTTACTGCTGTTGTTTACGTCTATGTACAAGTCTTTGTGTGAATACATTTTTATTTCTCTTGGGTATATTCCTAAGAATGGAATTGCTAAGTCATATGGTAACTTTATTTACTTATTTATTTCTATAGTAACTTTATGTTTAACCTTTTGAAAATCTGTCAAAATGTTTTCCAAGGAACCGCACTAATAATACAGTCCTACCAACAATGTACAATGATTTAAATTTCTCTGTCATACCCTCACCAACACTTACTGTCTGCCTTTTTTATTATAGCCATCCTAGTTGATATGAAATAGTATCTCATTGTGAGGTATTTTCATTATGCTTAAAACTGATAATTTTGAGCATGCTTCTTTTCCTGTGGATTAGTTGAATTTTTTTAGAATTCATTTTAATTTACCTTTAGTGCTTTTGAGTGCATTATTTATATGGCTTTTTAGTGGTTCCTCCAGGCATCACATTATATAACCATAACTTATCATAGTCTACTGGTATCATTATTATACAGTTTGATGAAATACAGATACTTTACCCAATTATAATTGTTTTAACTATTACCTCTCACTATTTAAAACCAGATCAGACATTGTTATAATTTTGCTTCAATTGTCAAACACAATTTAAAAAAGTCAAGAAGAGAAGGATACTCTGTTGTATTAACCCATGTTTTGCTTATTGTTTTCTTTCCTCCTTTCTGATATTGCAAAGTTCCTTCTTTTTTCATTCCCTTTCTATTTATAGAATATACTTTAGTCATTGTTTTAGGTTAGGTCTGCTAGCAATAAATTCTCATTTTCCTTCATTTGACAATATCTTGATCTTATCTTCATTTCTGAGGGTATTTTCTCAGGATACAGAATTCTGGTTGATCATATTTTTATGCAGCATTTGAAAAATATTATGCTACATCCTTCTGGGATCCATGATTTCTCATGAGAAATCTGCTAAAATTTGAACTGGTATTCCCCTATACATAATGTGTAATTTTTCTCTATTTGCTTTCAAGTGTTTTCATTGTCTTCATAAAACAGAAGTTTGATTATGATATGTCTTGGCATGTATTTATTTCGGTTTATTGTGTTTGGGGTTTACTAATTTTCTTGAAGCTGTAGGCTTACACCTCTCATGAATTTGGGAATTTTCAGTCCTTATTTTGAATGTTTGTTCATACTCATCTTCTTTCTCCTCTTTTGGAACCCTAATGACATGAATATTAGAGTTTTTATTATTATCTACAGATCCCGGAGGCTGTTATTTTTTTTAGTCTATTTTCTCTCTGTTGTTAATATTTGTTAATTTCTAATGTCCCATCTTCAAGTTCACTGCTTCATTCCTCTCTCATCTCCATTCTTTCACTGAGCCCATGCAGGGAGATTATTTTATTATATTTCTCAGTTCTAAAATTTCTACTTGGTTCTACTTTATATCTTCTACTTCTTGCTAACATTTTCTGTCTCATTTGTTTCTAGTATGTGCATAATTGATCACTGACACCTTTTTTTTTTACAATCCTTGCCTTTAAATCCTTTTCAGATAACTCCACTATCTGTTTTTTTATCGGTGTTGTAACCTATTAATTTCTTTCTCATTATTCCTGAATCTTGGTATGATGAGTGATTTTCAATTCTGTCTTAGATATTTTTTATATTATGGACTTTGAATATTATTTAAATCTATTTCAGGTCTCCACTGACCCTATGCATTGTGGGAAGTCAGGCCCTGCCTCATTACTGCCAGGCAAGTGTGGAAGTCCAAGCTCCCCATCTAAACCTAACATACACTTTGGAGAAGTAAGGTATGCCTCGTTACTGCTAGGTAAGGACAGAAGTCCAGACTCCCCTTATGGTTGCTACTGACATGATAGAGGGGATTGGAGAGGGCACCTCATTACCTCTGGGTAGTGTTGAAAATAGATTCTTGGAGACTTGGGCTCCTTGGACACCACCCCAGTGGGGCGAGATAGAGATATCTCATTACCAACGGATGAGAGTGGAAATATAAGCTCCACATTTGGCTTTTGCTGATAGGACCAGGAGAGGTGCTCTGGATTTTGTTTGTTTGTTTGTTTGTTTTTTTCTTTGTCTGTTTGTTTTCTGTAATGTGTGAGTAGGGCAGTTATTATCAAAAAGTTTTCTTTCGTGCAAGGCTGATACTTTCCTGGCCTATGGCTTAAAATAACAGTTTTCATTATATCCTAGTTCTGCTCTAAAGGATGAATACCCTTGCCCTAACTGGTTTGGCTCAATGGATGGAGCGTTGGCCTGAGGACTGAAAGGTCTCATGTTTGATTCCAGTTGGGGGCATGTACCTTGGTTGTGGGCACATCCCCAGTAGGGGGTGTGCAGGAGGCAGCTGATCAATATTTCTCTCTCTTCAATGTTTCTAACTCTCTATCCCTCTCCCTTCCTCACTGTAAAAAATCAATAATATATATATATTTTTAAAAAGGATGAATACCCTTTAGCATAAATTTCTGTGGCCCGTGACTCCACAATGTGGAAGGCTCTTCCTTGTTCTCTATCTTCCATGGCCACATTTGAAGTGGTACTAAGAAGTAAGCCCTCCTTGGAGACTACAATTTTCTTAACCCCTTTCTTGCTGGTACATCTTCCCAACAAATGGTGCTGAGACAACTGGATATCTGCATGCTAAAGAATGAATTTGGACATCCACCCTACAGAGGATACAAAAATTAACTCAAAATGGATCTTAGATATACAGTAGTGCTCCTTCTCTGTGGGATATATATTCCAAGACACACACACCCCTCCTTGGATGCCTGAAACAACAGATAGTGCCGAACACTATATATACGATGTTTCTTCCCTATACATACATACCTATGATAAAGTTTAATTCCCAACTTGGGCACAGTAAGGTATTAACAACTTCAACTTCAACTTTTGCTGAAGAGAGAAAAATGCCATGAACATGTAACTGGCAAAAGAAGGAGGATCTAAGGAAACAAACAAATCCACTATTTTTCCTCCTGTGGAAATAATTGACTTATTAAAAAAAAATCACAACTATGTGGATAAGTTCATGGCTTGCTTCAAATCTGCTCCCAAACTGAGCCAGAATTAGCATGAAGTGCGCAATGGAGGCACCTATGACACCCATGTTGCGGAAACACTCACTCTCAAGGTCCTGCAAAGGCCTATACGCAGCTGTGGGCAAACTATGGCCCGCAGGCCAGATTCTGGCCTATAGGCTCAACCTCTGAGAGTGAGTGTCACTTTAAATTTGCTTCAGAGATACCTGCTTACCTCACCCTAGTCCCAAGCCTGTGATTGGTCAAGCCATCCCTCTGTGACATCACATTAAATGTTTCCCTAGGTAACGGGTATATAACTACCTATCTACAAGTCAGTATGGTCTGTTTCTCCAGAGCCTGAAGAGAAAGAGACCTGAGGCCACATCTCCCAACTGGAGGTAGGCGATAAGTCTGTACCAATTCTACCATGTAGCAATGGCCTGGGCCCCAAAGCAGAAGTGGGCAGAGCCAAACCTAAGGGATCCCAGGGCTGGCAGGGCCTACAGAGATGGCAGGGGAGGCAGACGTGGCAGAGGCCAGAGCAGGGGCAGCTCCTCCAGCCACATGGAGCCTAGGGCTCCTGGCCCCCAAGGCCCTCCTCTTGTTTTTAAAATC